TGTTGCCAGGAGCGTTCAATCGGGTAAATAGAGCATGAATTCCTAGAGGGTTATGTCCATATGTAGAACACATATGGGTTTCAGAAAAGTGAGAAAAAATTCAATCAGGAAGTAGGATCGAGCAAACAATACGAAAAACCGGTCGAAATTAGAACGCATATTTCTAGCTCGGTATTGGGGGAAATTGGCGCCAGCAAACAGAGACTGGCGCCAACTTTTAACTGTAGCGCCTGGCGCCAATACTGGCGTCTGGCGCTATGGCTAAACGTTTGGCGCCAAGCTCTGGCTCCTGACGCTACTTCCCACATGCCTCAGCAGCTTTCTGTGCTTAATAAAATCATCTAGTTTCGCGCGGTGTTATTTCAGTCCTAGTTGTGAAAGACATTTCTCAAATTTCCTACGTGTAAAATCCTATGTTTTTTACTCATTACGGATGTTCTTTCCAATGAGAACCTTTTTATGCATATGAAAATAATGTTAATCAAAATTACTTACATGAAATACTTAGAACTTTTCGAGTCTCATCCACTCATTCTAAATCATTGCCGAAACAAATTCAGGAATTAAAATAGAAATCCTCCCCAACGGAGTCGCCAAAAACTGTGGGGAATAGTTTCAAGACTTTAAAAATCCCACTAGCTTGAACCCCACTGTGATCATACACTAAAGTACGGTGGCGTCCAAAAAGGAAGAAGATAGAGCAAAAGAGTCGCCAACAAGTTTTTAAGGAACTTGTAAACCGTTCACGAGGTGAAGGTTACACCCCTTAACGATCCAAGAGATTGTCAACTCCATAAGGTCATGAACCAAATAAGGGTTCGGAGATGATGGTACAAATCCAACCTAAAAGAGATTGAACCTGCCCTAATAATAGGCCTCTACTTTATTCTGATCGTATTCATGTGCGCTTTCTGATTAACATGCAATCAATAGATTAACCCTAAACCTGTTTAATCTATGTTGGTTGAATATTAATGCACAAATAAACTATTATTGGCGATCACTTGAATTTATAATCACAATTAACCTAACAAGATTATTAATTATCTTATTAAGCGCGATTGCAAATACCAATTCCCTTTAAGCATGCAATAAATGGTGATCAAGCAATAACAATATAAAATAATATGTATCAAGCAACATAATAAAAAATCAACATCATGAATAATAATAATAAATAATCAATAATCATGTTAAAGCATATCAAGATCCTAGGCATGATACTAACAAGATTAATAACAAATCCTAGCATGTTACTAAGCAATAAAAATCAAATCTTTAACCCTAACAATCATAAATATTAGGAAGAACATAGGAAGCATCGTACTTTTAATCATACTTAATATTAAAGATACCCTAGACATGATACTAGGAATCAAAATAACAATCTAAGCATCATAATATCAATTAGTCAATTAAAGCACTTACTTGGATGACTCGTACCTCTTTCTAATAACAAAATACACACGTTAGTAACTTCAAGGAAAATAATAATCAAGACAATTAAATTAAATAATTGAAAGAGAGATTTGGAACCAAACCCTCAGAAATTAAAAACCTTTCACGTCTAGGGCGAAGGCAACTTCGAATATGGCTAGGTGTGTCTAGTGCTAATGTATGAGGAATTGTGTTTGTAAAAATCTAGGCTTAGAAAGAGAGAGAGAATCAAGAATTTCTTGATGAGAGTTGGTGATTGAAAAAGAGAGGTTTTAGAAGGCTATTTATAGAGAAAATCAGCCGGATGGATAGAAAAACAAATCAGAGTTTCGAAAAGAATAAAACACGGCCGCAACGTCAAACACGCACATGGCGCTAAACGCTGGACTCTAGCGCCAGACGCTAGACTCTGGCGCCAGACGCTAGACTCTGACGCCAGACGCTAGACTCTGGCGCCAGACGCAGGAGTGGCGCCAGGCGCTGGAAAACAATTTTTGCGGATTTGGTTTTCATCATATCTTTTGATCCAGAAGTCCAATTAAGTCATATAATATGTCGTTGGAAAGAAGTCTACTTTCCAACCCAATTGGAATCAGATTAAAATCTTCTGTAAATAAAAAGATATGGCCGAAATAGTGGAAGGGTGTTAGTTTTGGATAGAGTTTCATATCTCAATCATATCTTTTTTCGTTATAGCTCGGATTTAATATTATAATATATCACTGGAAAGATAATTTCAAGATCTATCCAACCATATAAGTTTTAGATAAAGATTAGGAGGCACGAAAATAAAATCTGAATATATTCCACTTCGTACAAAACAAGGATTCTAAAAAAGAGTAGTTTTATTCAATCTCAAACTCTTTGAAACATAATTATCAATCCTAACTCCATTAGGATTTAAGAAAACCTTCTAGAGTATTCTAGAAGAATATAATCAATCTTAATAGTTTTAGGAACGATAATTAATAATAGGCCCTCCTCTAGATCATTGGGCGCATATAAAAATCAAATCGGGCCCAGTTTAATATTTTGGCCATAAATTCCTCATCATTCATCGGAATTGGGCTTATAATATATCGTTGAAAAGGTCTTTTCAAGCCCCATCCAACTACACTATTATTATACCCTTATCATGGACCAAACTAAACTGGAATGTATGTTTTTCAAAAATAAGGTAAGAAAAGAAATATTTTCAAAAACAGAAAGAAGAGATATTTTAATAAAAACATTCACATCACTAGACTTTTCACATTTTCGCTTCGTTCGATAATCAAATGACATGAAAGGTATTCATCACTGGGTTTGGTTTTAGGGAGACACATTTAGGTGTCTACACCAACCTAAATACAAGTATAGAGGCAAGTGAAGGGTCAAACCCAAAAGAACGGTAATGTTCAAATGCTTTCGATTTGGGCACCTAAGCTAGGTCGAAGCCAAAGGTAAAGGTAAAACTAAAAAATAACAAACAAAGGATCAGGGAAATAAAACACTAGGAACAAGGATCAACAAGTAATCATGACAATTGCAGCAACTTGGGACAAACATGCCAATCAATGGTTGTGAAGACAAATGATAAGAGCAATCAATTAGAATCAAATAACTATCTCCTAATCGTTAAACTAGATGTCTCTACGAATAACAAACTAAGAGAATCACAATCCAAACCAATTGATAATTGTAATTCCTAAATCAATTGTTCATGTCATTAGAAATTACAATGCAATCTAGCATAATTCTCAAGGCCTATCGAATTACACAAATGCACAATTCCATTAATCATTTTAATATCAACAATCAATCAACACAACTCCCAAATTAATTACAATCAATCAATCATACAAGTTTTACCCAATTCCTAGCCAAACAACTACTCTAGAATCATCATTACACTAATTAAGAATCAAACATCAAAATCAAGCCAAACAAACATGAAATCAAACAAAACAATAAGATGAGATAGAGTTAGAAATGCTCATTGATAATAGAGAAGATCTTAAACACAATTTTCCCCATTGAGTCTTCAATCTCTCAATCACCATTAAAATTCCTCACTTTCTCTCTCTAAAATCTACTCCTAAACTGACCCTAAAACTAGAAAGAGAAGCTCTCAACTAAGCTAAGAATATCATCAAAATTATGTCTAAAACTTCTTACAAAAATCAGTTAAAGAAAAGTATTTATAGAGGCGCGGAAAAGGAAAACAAACAAAGCCGGAAATAGGGAGGAGAGCCCACGCAGGAAGAGGCGCGCGCCCTCTCCAGCGCTGCAAGGTTAAGCGCCCGCGCGGCTCGAACAAGTGTACTATTTCGTTAGTGGGTTCATAATTATTAGAAAGCTAATATATTCAGTAAGGTCAAGTGATCGGAATGCCTGGGTAGAGGCCGCTTCCGATTAGTAATATTAATGCATAATTAATATTACAGCTTAATCTTGACTGAACCTTCGGGTCACACCCAAGCAACTAACGAACCGAAGCGACGAATTAATTAATAAGTCGACTGAGTAATTAATATTTAGACGTTGGAAATACGATCTTGGAGCGTCGAAACCGAGCTTCGAAAGTCAGCTTAATATTTGATTTTTGCAATGGACGGAATCGCCCTCCACACATAGCTACACCCGACTTTGTTGAATAGGCCCTTGTTATCGTATGGCTCCATATATCAGTAACCTCCAATTCTTGAATTGGGACATGCGTACTAAAAATATCCTTAGCATCCTGGAACTCAAAACTTTCCCAAACCCACGGACACTCTCCTGTTTTTTTTTTTTTTTTTTTACGCAAACAGGAACTATAATATATTAATTACTTGTAAAAGTTACTGATGACATACAGGGCAAAAGAGCAGGTACTTAGAGCACATATGAATATGCTCAAAGTTAGCTGAGTATATCATATAGTTATAGAAACTAGAAATAAGATGAAGCTTATAATATCTAGAAGAGGAATACTTCAGCAACCTAAAACAATCAAAAGCAGCTGCTGGACTTCGCATGAACACTTTTGTAGATATGCTTCAGCAACTGGTATATATCAAAAAGAGTTGCTGGGCAGAACCTGAACTTAAGTAGCCATATCTGGAATCTCTGCAGCATATAAGTCAAAGGTACCTGATGGAGGATAAGAGAAAGGAACAACTTCTCCTGTCTTCATCTTTGTTCTCCCCATCATGGCTAATCTGTCAACCACTAAGTTGACTGTCCTGCTTGCATGAAAAACATGAACTGTCCAACTATATGGACACTCTCCTGTTATTATCTCAATATATAAGGAAAAAAATAAAAGAGAGAGTAGGCGACTAAAGTGGAACAGAGGGAGTACCTAACTGCTTTGACTTTCAGATTTAAAAAGCCTTATAATTTAAAAAAAAAAATTACTTTGGTTTTATTATCAAAAGATTTTCTCTATCTCGGCCATTGTAAAACACAACTACCATTAAATTCTAAATGAGTAAAATAGATGGAGACTTTAATTTTGAACCTATAAATGGAATCACCTTTAAATTAACCTCCGCTGGTGAATCTGGTGATCACATGAACCACACACCACGAGCCAAAAATAAAATAAAAAATCATATTTAAAGTTGACAGGTTTAAGATACACATAAATTACTCAGTAATACATTAAACAAGTCATTGAAAAGTTGAAACGGAAACTATAAATAAAAAAAATGAAACGGAATAAAAAGATAATCGGAACAACCGAATTAAAGGAAAAAAAAAAAACCTCTGCAGCCATGGATGTGTTGCAATGTAATTGCAATGCATAACTGCAACAGAACACAAAACAGAAATATGAATAAACAGAAAATAAGCCTTATGATAAATCTTCAACGACTTTATCCATCAACAGAGATCCCTGCAAAGAAAAACATTTTTACTTTAACTAAAAGAATTTGATGACAAGTAAGCATAACTACCATGAGCTGGGGGGACAATTAGCTTCTCTAATGATCTATCTCTATGATAGGGAGACTTATAGAGCCGTGTGCCTTTCCAGTTATTTTTTTAAAAAAAACAATCAATATCCAACAAATGTTGAATCTTTTGAAATTGTTTCTCACCCACTGTAATATATTTAAGATTATAGCATGTAATGAAGTTTCTTTAAATATGTTTAATCCAAACTCATTTGCTAATTTGAGAATGTCGTCCTCCTAAAGTAAAGGGAAACAAAAAATCACACAATATCACTACTCGATAATTTCAACAAGTACCAATATTAAACAAACAGACTGACTTGAAAAATGTTATTCAGTCCACATTCCATACTATGCAACCACACTTTAGTGTATTAGCTTAATCTAGAATTGTCTAATGAACACCACTTGACAAAACAAAATGCACAAAAAACCTAAGGCAGTGCTTGGGATGATTGATTTTTTTTCAATTCCATAATTTCAATTCTGAAAATTGAAATTCCAATATTCTACTTCAAATAATTTGTTTGGAAAAGTCTTAAGAATTTAAATGTGTGGTTCCAAATTCATTGTGTTGTTTGGGAAGTATTTTGGCTTTTAAATCCAAAAATAGAAAAATTGAAATTGGAACTTCCTTTCTAACCTTCAGATTCACTGTCATCTTTCCTCTCACCACCGCCAACAATTGGGAGGTCGACATAATCTTTGATGCTTCTCAATCACATTAAAGATCCAAATGTCCAAATTATACTTCTATTTAACAATAATAAAAATTTAGGCATCTAATTCCAATATTCAATTTAAGGTTCAAATCAAAGCAAATGTATTCAATTCATCATAGAGGGTATTGGGCTGAATTAGAATTCTCAAATCAGGTAAGATGTTAATTCAGAAACTTCTCATAACAGCACACCAAACAACACATTTTACGATCGAACTATACATCGTTAACAACTAGGGGAACCGCAACCAAAGGACACAGATCCACAACTATATATATAGCAAGTGTAATATATAAGTAGTGTTATGCAAGTAGCAGTAATATGGTTGATAAAGTAGAATTACCTAGAGCAGGATGGGGCGTGAGGCTCTCACGTAACCTTCAAATGGAAAGCAGTGCACAGCAACAGGACTGACACGCACCACTCTTGGAGAGAGGCGCTCAACTCTAAATTTGATGAACTGGAGATTAGTTTGACGCGAAGGAGCGTCATAAAAGGGGACGCAGTGGGCCAAGCACAAGGCGCCATTGCCCAGATAAAGCATGTTCAAGAATTTAAAATTGCGAATATCAACTGTAAAGTTAGAGGAATACTTAACGTCCAACCACACTTTGGTTAACAAATCATAGGCAACAAGGAAATCACACTTCCCTCTAAGTTGAATGTAAAGAACATCATCAGCCAAAGCTGCGGGTTTCTTCCAGCACCTGAAATTCTTGGCCAAGCAATCCCATTCTTGAGTAGCAGGATAATATGAATAGAGGGAATCATCTTTACGAAAATGCACAAGAATCCGCTCATTCTTTTCATCAGGAATCACTGGATAAGACACACACTTCCACTCCAGATGAAGATTGGAGGGTGGTGGAGCCAAGGGTTTCCACTTGCGCTATTGGGGAATAAACACCTCGCCTACACAAGAACATGGTACTGCGCCTCCCAATACATATATTCTACCCCCCAGGGGAGCACTCATTGCAAATTTGCGGCCATAATGCATAGCAGGGATAGGCTTCCACTTATTATAATTAGACCCTAATTTTAAAAAATCCTCATCAGCTTGTAGCTCTTCTCCTTTCATCAATGAGAGTAGATGAGGTATGTTCAATTCTAAACAAGAAGCGCCCAAGTGGTCTACATGTGTTGTCTTATGACAAAAATAATCTGTTGATATTTTACCGCCCACGGTATAGAGGACAGTGTGCTACCTTCTCCATCTTCATTTATCATGGTTGCTAAAGGATTTATCAGGATTTCAAAAGGAGCTCTCTCTATTTTCTTTGCTTCCAAATCTACAATGTAATAATCAGACTTCTGCCTCGACGCGATTTGCACCAAAATAAGTTTCTTCATTGTCTTTCCTTCCATTTTTTTTCTTTCCTTTTATTTTCCAATTCCCACAAATTATTTGTATTTGTATGCTCCTGCTTTACAACAGAAACATCAAACATAAAAATCCAAAACAATAAGTAATTACTAGTACAACTTCAAATTATATGTATAATTCAGGGCAGGGGCCAGGAAAAAGCAGTCTGATTTCATAGTTAATCCTATTGGCGGATCCAGGATTTCCGTACCTGTGAGTCACCATGTGAAAGCTAAGTACAATGAGAAGAAATTGATGAAATTTGCAAGAGAAGAACAGAAGTGAGAGTGGGAAATTTGATTTGGGGGTGTTTGGTCGGCTGGTTGATGTGAGAGAGGGAGTTAGGTGGGTTGTGACTTGTGATGAGTTTGGCTATTCGCTTCTTTCTTCACGCGTTTAAATCCCCCCCCCCCTTTTTTTTTTTTGGCATTGCTGAGTCACGTGAGTAAGGGTCTATTTTCTTCCGTTGAAATTCAGTTCATTCAGTTCAGTTCAGCTCTTAACGACGACGACGACAACAACAACAACAATAATAATAATAATATTAATAATAATAATAATAATAATCAATGAGTAATAAATAATAATAATAATAATAATAATAAGGGGCGATTAGGGTAGGTTTCCACGTTCTTTTCCGGCAGATTTTCCGGCGCTTTCCAGCGATCAGGTTAGTGTTCTAGTCAGGAGTGGGTTCTCGGTTTTTTTTTTTGTTACAAACTCCTCGTCATTTAGGTGCGATTTTGGAGCAGTTTCGGGTTGGTTTGGTGCAATTTCAGGCTGTTTGGGTGCAGTTCCGAGTCCTTTTTCCGACATCATCTCTGGCGTAAGGTGTGATCAGGTGGGCGATTTTCAGTCAGGGGTATTTCAGGCGGCTTTTGGGTGGATTTCAGGTGGTTTCCCGGGTGGTTTTCAGGCGGCTTTTAGGCGGCTTTTGTGGGTGGTTTCTTGATCGATTTTCTGGCGAATTCTCACGTTGTTTTCCTCAGGTTTTCGGGCTGTTTCAAGCGTCTTTAGGGTGCGTTTTTTTTTGGTATTTTTTGGGCTATTTTGGTCAGTTTTTAGGCTGCGGTTTTGGGTGCAATTCTGTTGTGTTTTCAAGCGTGGTTTTGCTCTGTTTTTGGGTGCGTTTTGGGTGCAATTTCAAGCTGTTATTGGGTCATTTTGTGGGCAGCTTTTCTCGCAAATATTGGTGTTTTTGGTCATTTGGTGCAGTTTTTAGGCAGTGGGTTTGGTGCAGTTTTGGTTGTACCTTGGGATGTTTTTAGGTGCAGTTTTGCAGGATGTGTTCATTAGTGTTTGGGGGTGTTTTAAGCGCTACAATTCTGCATTTTCAACATCTTTTTGCTGCAGCTTCTAGTATGTTCTTGGTGTGCTTTTGGGTCCTATTTTGAGTGCATTTTGTATCCAAATTCCTGGTGTGTTTTTGGCGATTTTTCTGGTGCATTTCAGGAGGGTTCTGCAGTCGGTTCAGTGGTATTTGGGGCGTGTTTCTGCAGTGGTTCAGAGGAGGTTCTTTGTTGGTTTCTATTTTGGGTTTCGGTGATCAATATTTCCAGCGATTTTTGGTATTGGGGGCTGTTTTGGGCAGTTTTGGGTGCTGTTTTTGCAGCAATTTCTGGTGCAGTTTCTGGTCCAGTTTCGGCAGCTCTTGGGTGCAGTTTTGGGTACTGTTTTGCGGCAGTTTCTGGTGCTCTTTCGGGCGTATTTCAATTTTAGGTGGTGCAAGTCAGCTATGTCGGCTGCCGTTGTGAAGTTTCATTGTCCCTTTGTGGGTCTTAGTGGTTGTCAAGATGGGAGTGGAAATGAGCAATGGCCTTACTCGACGTTCTCTAATCAAACATCTTAGTGATTGTCATTGTTGTATCGGTGCGCGAGATATCACCCGACATTCTCTTACTTCTAATTTGGTTGTTTATAATGAGGCAGAAGTTACTTTTAGGCGTATGGGGATTTGGTTATGTGGAGTTTGCTATAAAATGCACACGGTACGTATTAAGTGTCGTCATGGTGGGGATGAGGATGTGTCACCCCCTGATGAAGGAGATGGTGTTGTTCGTTTTGTGCTTCATAATTTCACCAAGCCGCAATCTCCTTCTTCTCCTACCATATGGATGGATTGGTGCGAGATCATAACGGTGGTTTTGATGTGGCCCTCCTTGATTGTTTATTCTCTAAGGGGTTTCGCTCTGTTAAGTATATCCCTCCCAAGTGTCGTTTGGGGTTTTCTGGGGTTCTGAAAGGTGCTCTTGATAAGGTGATCTCTAAGCCTGATGACATTTCTAATTGGGTCTCTTTGTTGGTGTTACCTCTTTGCATCCTTAAAATCTTTCGCCCGCGGAGTAGTCGTGAGTCTCGGTCTTCGGTAAGACGTCGGCATCAAGAAGAGAGTATTTCTCGTGCTATTTGTTCTTGGAGTGTAGCGGGTGGTAATTTGCAGCTTGTGAGGGAAATTTTGGCAGAGGATTCTCCTACTTTGTCGATGGTTGATGATGAGGACATTGATTTGGAAGAGCGTAATATTAAGCAGTGTCGTAGGAAGATTTGCGATGGCCATTACACTGCTGCAGTTCGGGTTCTTTCTTCTTCAGGCGTTGCACCTTATAATGACGCCACTCTTGCAGATTTACAGTCAAAGCACCCTTCATCTCCAGCTCCATCCTTGCCTGATATACCTATTGATCACCTTCATCTCGTTACGACTTCTGCTGTTGTTTTGGATCGGATTAGGAGTTTCCCTCGTGGCACATCATGTGGTAGGGATGGTTTGCGTGCTCAACATCTTATGGATTGCTTGAGTGGTGCAGCTGTGGCAGTCTCAGATGAGTTGGTTGACTCTATTACTGGGGTGGTTAATCTCTTTCTAGCTGGGAGATGTCCTATGGAATTAGGAGAGTACATTGCTAGTGCTCCTCTTACGCCACTTGTCAAGCCCGGTGGTGGTATCCGTCCTATTGTTGTGGGTATGGTTTGGCGGCGTCTCGTTTCGAAGGTGGGTGCTGTTATGGTTGGTCAGTCTTTAGGGAGTTACTTTGATGGCCTTCAATTTGGTGTTGGGGTTTCTTCAGGTGGTGAGGCAATTCTTCATGCGGTGAATCGGTTGATTGAGGACCGTGGTTTTGATGTTGGTCTATCTATGTTGTTGGTGGATTTTCAAAATGCCTTCAATCTGGTTTATCGTTCGGTCATGTTACGTGAGGTACGTCGTCGTTGTCCGGGCATTTCGCGATGGGTAGAATTCTGCTATTCTAATCTAGCCAGGTTGTACTATGGGGACCAAACCTTATAGTCATCTCAAGGGGTGCAGCAGGGTGATCCCCTTGGTCCTTTTCTTTTTTCTTTGGTTTTACAACCCCTGGTGTGTAAAATTAGAGAGACTTTTGATGTATGTCTTCAGGCTTGGTATTTAGATGACGGCACGATTATTGGTGACACTTTGGTGGTGGGGCAAGTTCTGCAGTTGATTATGGAGGAAGGACCTCGTTCTGGGTTATGTCTTAATGTGGAAAAAACTGAAGTTTTCTGGCCTACAGAAGACCCTCGAAGCAGGCTGGTGGGTGTCTTTCCACCTAATATTGCTCGACCTTTGCGTGGTGTTAGGTTGCTTGGAGGTCCCGCTAGTTCCGATTCTGGTTTTAGTGGTGAGCTTGTGATGCAATGGGTGACCAAGACCATTGCCCTTATGGATAAGGTCGCTATGCTCGATGATCCTCAGTGTGAGCTGTTGTTACTTAGGGCATGTACTGGAGTTTCAAAACTCTACTTTGCATTGCGTACTTGTCCTCCTAGTACTTTTGAGGTGGCTCAGCGCACTTTTGATGCAGCTCTTCGATCTTCCATAGAGCGTATTGTTACTGCTTCGGGGCCTGGGTTTGGTGATTGGCAGTGGCGACTTGCCACCTTACCATTTGCGTTTGGAGGGCTTGGTGTTTATTTTGCAGGTGATGTTCGTCACTATGCTTTTCTTGCTTCTCGGTTACAGTCTGCTGGGTTGCAGACACAACTTCTTCGGCATGCTAGCATTGTTGGTCTTGGACGAGCCTTTGAGGATGCGTTGAGTCTGTTTAATGGAACAGTGGAGTCTGACATTTTGAGTAATCCTAGTGAGGTCGCTGCCCCTAAACTCATGAAGAAATTGGAAGATATATATTTCACAAAGGTTACCGCTTCTGCGGAATCTGCTTATTCTTTAACTCCTCGACAATCAGCATTATGAAAATCACAGCAGGGTGATCACACCTCTGCTTGGCTTCGGGCGGTTCCTATTTCAGGGTTGGGTCAGACGATGAACGCCAAGACTTATCGTTGTGTGTTGTCCTATCGGTTGGGTGTTCCATTGTTCTCTATCTCGACGTTATGCTCTGCTTGTTCGAGGGTTTTTGCTGGAGATATTTTCGGTGATCACGCGGTGTCTTGTGCTGGTATTGTGGGTATTAAACATCGGCATAATGTTGTTCGGGATACCCTTGTTGATGTTTGCTATCGTTCTGGGGTTTCAGCGAGAAAAGAGGTTGACATTGGGTTGGCCGGAGGGAACGACGAGGCCCTCAGACCCGCGGATGTGTTACTTTATTCATGGGACCGTGGTCGCGATGTCTATGCTGATTTGATATGGTCTTCTCCTTTGACACAGTCAGGGCTATCTGACTTCATTCCTGGGCGGGTTGTGGCTGATGCAGCTCATCGGAAGCGGGTTAAGTATGAAGCTCGATGTCAGGCGATTGGATATGGTTTCATTCCCTTCTCCTTTTCTTCGCTTGGAGAATTAGAGAAAGAGGTTGTTGCGTTAATGAAGCGGATTCAGAGGTTCTCGACGACGCAAGACATTGGGGCTCGTGCTGCAACTCATATCTTCACTAGGGTAGGATTTGCAATAGCTAGAGGAGTGGGGGCCCAGATTGTATCTCGGCTTCCCACTAATTTATCGTAGGTTATATGACTTTTGTTTTTGAGATAATAATAATAATAATAATAATAATAATAATCAATAAATAATAATAATAACAATAATAATTGAAATAATAATACTAATAATGATAATCAATAAATAATAATAATAATCATCAATAAATAATAATAATAATAATAATAATAACAACAACAAAAATAATAATAATAATAATAATAATAATAATACTAATAATAATAATCAATAAATAATAATAATAATCAATATGTGTTTAAAATGTTTAGAGGTTTCAAGTTTTTAATATATTTTCCATAAATTTTATAATTATATAGTATATTTTTCGTAAATATTTTAATATGTACATTTGTATATACACATATGTATAGTAATAAATAATCAATAAATAATCAAAGATCACTAATCCGTAGTAAAGAATCACTAATTAATAAGTTCAGTTCAGTTCAGCTGAGTTCAGTCAATCGGAACAGGCCCTAAGTGTGCACACGTGTAGGTCCGCCTTACTACTTGTGCTATACATTAGCAACCAAATTTAATTCAATGAAAATTCAAATAAAATAATTTTAGGGATA